GGCTTGGCCCTGGCCTTCTTGGGGGCCAGCAGGTCCTCAGTCGCGCCGGGCACCTCCCGCGGCGCCGCCGGCGCCCTGGGCGCGCCGCCGTTGGCGTCCTCCGCGGCCCCGCCGTTGGCCTCGGGCGCGTCCGCCTCGGGCTCCTCCGACTCCTCGTGCGCGGGCTGCGGCTGGCTGCTGCGCTGCGCGGCAACCGTCGCCTGCGCCCGCGCCATGAGCTGCTCGATGAGCGCCGCCGCCTTGGCCGCGCCCTGCACCTTGGGCTCCGCGCGCGGCGCCGGCGGCGCGCCCTTGTCGCCGCGCCCGCCCTTGTCGCGCGCGGCGCCGCGGCCCGCGTCCTGCGCGACCCCGCTGCCCGGCAGCAGCTCGCTGACGACGTACTTGCGCTGCTCGGCCCAGCCCTGGGTGTACTCCTTGCGGTACGCCTTGTCCCCCAGGATGCGGCCCATGTAGGACGCGACCTGCTCGTCGCACAGCGCGCGCGCCTCGTCCAGCTTGCCGGCCTCCACCAGGTCGCGCACCGTCAGGCTGAACTTACGGTTCTCGCGCCACTCCTGGAGGGAAAACGACGGCGGGGGGCGAGAGAGCGCGGTTGGCTGGCAGGGGGGGGGCTTGCAGGGCTGGGAGCCGGGCGGGGGAAGGGCCCGGCCGTGCTTTGTGCATCCTTGCGGGGACCGCCCTGGCTTCGAAGCGCGCGCTGGCTGTGCGGCTGCACAGCAGTAGCCGCGATGCAGCACAAACCCCGCTGCATCAGCCGTAACGTCCCAACAAACACGGCCCCCTGCACTTCCCCCCCTGCCCCACCAGCCGCCGCCCGCCTGACCCTCTTCCACACCTGCATGGCCTCGCTCGATTCGTCCTGCGCGGTGCGGATCTGCTCCTGCAGCGCCTTCTTCTTGGCCTCGTGCTCAGCGCGCTCCGCCTCCAGCTCGCTGATGCCGTCGTTGACCTCCTGCGCACGCAGGCACGCATGCATGCAGCACACGTGCTTAGCAGAGCACACCCGCGGTGGCGGTGGCATAGCTGTCCATATGGCAGGCACCAAAACTGCCGGTGTCCCACATTCGCTCACAGCACATCATGCAACCGTGCCTGCACCCCTGCCTTGATCACTGCCGTACAAGCGTGAGGGCCACATCCCGTCAGGGAAGGCTTTCACGGTCATATCACAGGCCAGCGCGCCCACCCAGCAGCACCCGCCGGCGCTCACCCTCAGCTTGCCCTGGATCTCCTGCAGGATGCCGACCGCCTGGGAGCGCTCCCCCTTCAGCGAGGTGACCTCAGCGTCCAGCTCCTTGATGGTGGCCTTCACCTTGGACAGCTCGCCCTCAAGCTGGGACAGCTGCGCAAGGGCAGGGCCAGCAGGGGACGTCCCTATTAGCATGTTCACGTCGGGTGGCGTCGCGCCCCTCGCCCCTGCGTGCCGACACCGGCTCGGGTGGTGCGCAGTGCGACAGTGCCGACGCCCTCCCGCCCCACATCCTCAACCGCGGCGCCCCGCGGCGGCGTGCGCACCGAGCCGTAGCGGCCCTCGGCCTCGCGGATGCGGTCGCGCTGCGCCCTGAGGCGGCTGATATCGCGGACCATCTGCTTCTCCTCGCGCAGCTCCAGCTGGCCGTGGGAGATCTCCGCCTCCATGGCGGCCAGCTTGGCGTCAAGCTCCTCCTGCGCGCGGCGCGCGGCGCGAGCGTAGGAGGGTGGTTGCTGCTGTCGGGCGGTGATCGACGCCCAGAAACCAAGGTCGCGGTAGCAACACGTTCTGAGACCCCCTGTCAGAAACCATACAACAACAGGTGGCATAGCATGCTGCATCATGCATGCCTCCAATTGGGCCGGCAAGCAGCCGACGCGAAGCCAAGGTTGCTGTAAGCTCTTCAGACCTGTATACACCCCTACCTTGCCCTTCACCCCACAGCCTCGGACTGGCCCGCACCTCGGTGCGTGCATCCAGGCCGCTCTGCGCGCCCTTGATGGCCTGGATCTCGTCCAAATAGGACTTCTTGATGTCCTTCAGCTCCTGCAGCTTTGAGATCTTGTCCTGCCACTCGGGCGCCGCCTCCTCCTTCAGGGAGCGCGCCACTGCGACCTGCTGGCGCAGGCCAGCAACCACCTCCTGTGGGCCACGCAGCCGGGGGCGAAAAGGGGCCGAGAAACAAGGAGGTTCAATAAAGGGCATCCAGTGCGAGGCTGGATGCAGGGATACCTCTGCTCACACAGCCAGGCTGCTGCGCATGGTCAGGCGGGTGCCAACCGACACCCGACCCCGCAAGCCTGCGGACTGATGCCAGCGTTGACCCCGGCTGCCCTCCGCGCGCCTCCAAAAGTATCCCCCTTGTGTCGATCGCCCACCGCGGCCCCACAGCGCACCCTCTTTCCAGCGAGCTTGCTGTTGTACTCCTTCAGCTTGGTGAGCGTGGCAGCGAGTTTCGTCTGCAGCTCCTTGACCGGCGCCTCGTCTATCTGGGGCCTCGGCACGCGCACAAAGTAGAGGTTCTTGGGCTTGCTGGGGGCAGAGGCCACGTTCTCCTGGGGCTGCGCGTCCTCCGCGCTAGTGGGGGCATCAAGCTTCGCGTCCGCTGCCGCGTCCAGCAGGTCCAGCTGGCTGTCAACCAGTGTGTCAGCCATGTCTGTTTCTTGAAACCTCTGGGGGACGCGAGGGCACGCGGGCGAACGATCGGGCCGCTGGCACCAGCCAACGAGTTGTTTGTCGCTGCTTCCGTTGGCTGCTTCTCGATCTTGTAAAGCCAAACTATCAGAGTGGATCGGTGGGCGTCCGCGTATGGTGATATCTCAGATCAGCACAAAGGGCAACTGCAAGGAGGTTGCGCGTGAGCCGTCGGAAGGAACGAAGCCGTACCCAGTCTGAGCGTGCAAATATACGGTATTTAGTTGTGTGATCGTGAAGGACTGTGCTGAGGATGTCCGCACGGCGTGGCGGTGGTGGTGCTTGCAAATGGTCATGAGTGCTGAACAGCTGACTCCGGCTGCAGTCCATCTGGCCTGGGGTGGGGATGTGTGCATGAGTCCTGCGACCATGGCCGGAGTCCGTGCGTCATGCCAGCCTGCTTATATCGGAAGCAAATGACTTCCTTGTCCATGAGGTCCCATATGTGCAAGTGCTGCTGAAAACGCCAAGCAACATCCGCACAGCAGCACCCACCCACCATTGACTCTGGGAATGAGCCCCCGCACGACGTTGAACAGAACGTGTGGCACAAGATGAAGCGCGCCATTGTACCCTACTGCTCGAATCTCGTAGCCCCTGCGTGCCTGTGCCCCTCAGCAACCCAGGCGCCAACACACCAACCTTGCGCACCGTTGCTTGACCTAGCTTGCTTTGCGCCGCATGTCCTGACTTCTTGATGCTCGCACCATACATAATTTCCTTGGATCCACAACACTCTGTGTAATAGCGGGCGCTCACGCACCTTTCGGACATCTGACACCTTGGTGCCACCTGGTGAGTAGCACTCGTGGGCAAGCGCGCGCCGCTCAGCACCATGGTGATGGCACCCGTTGCTGCAGTCGCGTATGTAACCGTCCACTTGAGACTGAAAAATCACACTAAACTGACATAACATTCAAGGGCGGGACACACGCTCGAGACTCGTCGAGTCAGGATGTCGCACTATCACATAGAGTATGCAAAGTATGTGAAAAATTTCTGTTGAAGCTTGTCACTGCGGTACCCGGCGCGCTGTGCGTGCTGAACAATGACATCCCACTCGCGCGCCCTCGGCCCTATGAGCGCGCCGCAGGTCAGCTCGTTCTGGCTGCCGCGCCGGCAAGGGCGTCTGTGAGGCGATCCACGGAGCCCCCAGGCCTAAAATTGCACAGGTCAGGCCTGGCGGATTGCTGTGCGGTCGTGGCATCGGCGTGCGTGCCCAACTCCATTCCTGCATTGTGTGTCGCGTCAATTCGCCCGACTTGGCCGCTGCCCGCTGCTGCCGCAGGGCGAGCTCAGGCTCGGGTCGGATAAGTCCCGCGGGGACTACATCCAGACGTTTTGGTACCATGAGTGAGCGGTGAAGGGGCGCCGCGGCGGGCTACAGTACAGTCACCTGGGGGTCAACGGCACGGCGTGCACTGATGGCCCTTGCAGGCGCATGCCGTCAGGCCAATCGCGAGCAGAGAGTGATTGTGATCAGTTCCATATCATGTGCCATATTGCGCCATGCTCAGCGTGCTGCGAGCGCTCGCACTCCCTCCCTCCTCCTCTTCGCCCCCTTAAATTCCGGGTCTGCTGTTGCAGGGCGTGCGTGCCGGATAAGATTTACGCGGGCATGCTGGATGAGCTGGAGGGCCGCGACATCGAGAAGCTTCCGGTGCGCAAGTGGCATTGCTGCTGCCGCATGGCCAAGGGCAGCGGCAGGCGGGGCTCTGGCCCTATCTTGAGCGAGATCCCTACTGCACCAACAAGTCGCCAGCAGCGACGCTCGCTGGACGTGCAACACTGCATGTGTGATGGCCCACGTGTGCTTGTCGCTCTGCTGGCGATGTGCGGCGTACGCAGGGCTTTGATGGCCTGAAGCCTGACGACAAGCAGCGCGTCAGGGGCCGCGCGGCTGCCGCCGTCAAGGCGCTGGAGTCCAAACACAAGCACGAGGTGCGGGGTGGCGCAAGGGTGTTGCGCTGCATGCCATGCCGCCAGCGGCGGCATGCGTGTGGGCTGTTGTGGGATGCCCCGCTGTGTTCACCGTCGCTAGCGGTAACATAGTGCATAGGAGCAGTATGCCAAGGATATGTGAGCACTCGTGGTTGGCTGCCTTATGACATCTATCAACCATACCCAACAAACCGTTGCCCTCCTCCAACAGGAGGAAGAGGCAGACGTCCCGCCAAAGAAAAAGGCCAAGCCAGGACCTAAGAAGGCTGCCGCGGCAACGAAGGCGCCGGCGAAGGGCAGGAAGCATGTCACACAGGATGTGGAGGCGGTTTGAGCAGGAAGCGGGATGTTTGCAATTGAACGACGCACGTTTTGGTGGGGTCTTTCAACATGGGGGAAGGAGGGTCCTCCAAGGGGGGGGGGCTTTCAACATGGGGGTCTGACTCAGCAGGGGGGTCTGACTCCACAAGAGGCTCCTTCCCCGTGATTTTGAGTTGTTGTGGTGTTTGGCGGTCATATGATAAGCGACAAGCAGTTGACACTCTTCTGCTGTTCATTCTCTGTGGTGGTAAGAGACTTGTACCGCTGTTCCATTGCTCCCTACTGACGTTGGTAGCTCTGCTAAAGCTGCTGCAACTCTTCCTGATTTTGCAGCAGCCTTGACACCCCCTGCTTGACTGCCATTTTCCCGTGAGTTGTAACAAAGGCTTGGCAGTTATTACAGCCAGGTCTAAAAGTAAACAGGGCAACATGAAGCAGGACAGTATGCATGGGTTGTGATGAACATGGCATCAGGCAACGCTACGGCGCCGGCAGCAAAGCAGCCAAATCAGGCAGCAACCACCGGCTCACACGCCGCACCCACTTCCACTGCCTAACGGTAGCCGCCGCCCTTGCGCGACCCCAGCCTGTACACCTCCTCGCTCGTGCGGCCCCTGGAACCTCCGCTGCCGCGCTCCTCAAACAGCCGGCTGCCGCTGGCGTCGCCGTAGCGCGACCGCACGTCCCCTGCAGCCCCCAGGTCCGCCGCCGAGTCCTTGAAAACGTCCCGGGCGTCGCGCCCGCTGCCGCCGCCGCCGCCGCCGCCGCCCCCCCGCCGCGGGCTGCGGCTGCGCGAGCGGCTGTAGCGCCGCGCCGGCGAGCGACGCTCGCGCTCCCGCTCGCCGCTGCGGTCATAGTCGCGGCGCGGGCTGCGGCTGCTCGGGCGCCGCGAGTAGGGTGAGCGCGGTGGCCGCTCGTACGGCGACGCGGGGCGCTCGCGGCCGCTGTACCCGGCGCCGCGGCGGTCGTAATCCCTGTCCCTGTCCTTATCGCTGCGGCCGTATTCCCCACGGCTCCTGTCCGGCTCCCGCTCCTGTTCGCGGCTGCTGTACCGCTCCCGGCCGTAATCCCCACGGCTCCTGTCCGGCTCCCGCTCCCGCTCGCGGCTGCTGTACCGCTCCCGCCCATAGTCCCGCTCCTTGTCGCGCTCGTCGCGCCCCTTCACGCGCTCCTCGCGGTCCCTCGGCTCGTCG